ATTTTAATTATTTCAGTAGTTTCTTTTATTGTTATACATCGCTGTAGTATATACTTGATCATTATAGAATAAAAATAATAATGATGTCACTATGATCACCTAATAACCAGTGCACAATGGGCCAGGAAACCAGTAAAACTGACCAAATTAATATCTTGTAAAATATGTAAACATATATAACACCATTACACTTATATAAGGATTTCGGCATCGCTTATTCTATTTATGATGTCAAATTTTCGAAATTCAAAATGGCGGATTCAATATGACGGACCAAAACGCGAAAAGTGACTTGATTTGGATGAAACTCGATATTCGGGGGTCGCTGAACCTGATATTATATTTTTAAAATTCAAAATGGCGGATGCAATATGGTAGACTGAATGCAAATAGTGACTTCATTTGAATAAAACTCGATAGTTGGGAGTGCTTGAGATCACTGAATACGAATTCAAATTCAAAATTCATAAATTCAAAATAGCAAATCCAATATGGCGAAAGACCAAAAGAGTCAGCCAGTTTGAATGTTTTAGTTTTGAATTGGATTTCGAATGTGGCGACCCCGAATATCTACCAGTACCAATTTTCACAACGATCGAATCACTTTTAGCATTGCTATCAATCATTTTGAATCCGACAATTTGAATTACTAAATTATGTGTTCAGATTCGAATTCAGCGACTCCGAAAACCAGTATCAAGTTGTACAACGATCGGAGCACTTTTTTTTATATTTCCGTCCGCCATTTTGGACCCGCCATTTTGAATTTCTAAATTGTAAATTTGGATTCGAACTCAGCGGTCCTGAAAATCTACAGGTACGAAATTTCACGGTGATGAGAGCACTTTTAGTCTTTAGTCATTTATTTAGATGTGCTGATCCATTGTGCATAAACATGAAGCGTATCTCGCGAATATCTCTATAAATTATGAACGGTGGCAGCTGATCTTATAACACACATATAAACGAACTCCACGGTATCTCAAACGTAAAGATACGCGGCGCAACTTCGTGCAACTTTTGTTGCAAAAATGACATTGCGGTAAATATTCAAAAACATCTCGGTATAATGTCCCACCATTTTGTTTGTATTGTATATTTTCACTCTATACGTTATTATAATGATTTATTTAACAAGGCAGAACTGTTCCTCACCGATTTTGATGCGCTTTAAATATATTGTAGAGCATCAAAAAGTAAGAGACACATATTTTTTACATCGACTTATCTCGAGGTTTAGGGGTTAAGACAGTCCCTTGAAAAAAATTAATTTTTTCATTTTTATGGAATAATTTCTAAGATATAAGGTATGTGAAAAAATGTTTCCTACAAAAGTTTTACAGTATTTAATACTATTTGCAACGGCGTATTTTATTTTTTTAATGTTAAAATTTTTAGTGCCCCTCCACTCGTTATCTTCGCAAAATTTTAAGTTTTTGTAAGAACTAAAATTGTAAAGCATTTAATACCAAATCCACCTATATATAATAGTAAAAGTTGGTCTCGTTTTAATTATTGAACGACGTGATAACATCGCGCTATAGATGCCACATTGTCCAACTAGATAGATACTGTAGATAGATGTTACTATAGATAGGGGAATAAAATGGATTGTAAAAATATAACACATAGACAATTGCATATATTTAATATATAATGTTTACAATATATAAGGTGTATGTTATTATATTAATCATATAATATATATGATATCAAAGAGAAATCGATACAAAGCTTGCATACACACAAAAAATAAATGTGTTTTATTTGTGATACATATTTGTTACAAAGATGATGCTCATGAAAAAAATGTG